AGTGTTTTTTGTATCTGTTTAATCAATAATTTCAGCCCAATGCTTCATTTTATTTGATAAATTACCAATCAGCATATAAATAACTCATGCTTGTCTAATTTGTTTTTATTGAAAGGGTTTCATCCTGTTCTGCGTGTTGTTGTTCTGACTGGGATGTCAGCAGTTGTTCAATCATCACATAGTGAAAACAGGTGTGCCTCATTACGTCCTCGTAGCAGGGAGGGGCTGGGCACAAGTCTAAGCATTTGGTGTGCTCGTCAGTATTTATTTGTGTCCATAGATCCATTGTGATGTTAATGATTGATTTTTGATGTTCTCTGTACTTATATGGGCATGTGGTAGGTATGTAAGTTGGCAATATAAAATTCAATTGAATTGAACCCAAAAGTGTTAAATGTTTTCATCTACGACTCAAATTTGTTATTACATTGTATTATATTAGTTTTACAATGTACAAAAGACAGAAGCTGTGCTTTCTACAGAGAGAAACAGAGTGCTCAATATCAAAAACTGCATCTACTTTTACAACTGTTTAACCTTATTTATATTTATGATATGCACTACTATTACTATTATTGTTGGTATTTTCCTTATAGAGGCAGTGTTTTGATGTCCTTGCTGTACTTATTGTACCTTCTACCGGCTAATGAGTCAGCACTGTGATGAGAAATGGTGCCTGAGAGGGATCTTATGACTGTGTTTGAGTGTGGGTTCTCCTTTCTTTTCCATGGCTGGGCTGCAATTAAGCAAGACTCTATGAAAAACCGCAGTGGAGGGGAGTATGTCTTTAAGAATAAACAGCAAAGTGGGTGAGAAGAGGTAGTCATAATTACATACAGCATAACCTGTAGGTAGTCAACAAACAAAGCACGCTGGTCTGTTACATCACACACAACTCTGCACAGTTATTTGTGTCAGCTGTTTCTAGAAAACATACAACCAGGCCACTCAGACTCAAACCAAGCCTCTTCACCCAGATGCCTATTATGCTGTAGCATCTATAACACTAAGCAATGCTAATTAGAAATGGAGATAAAGGCAGTGCACTGATAATCAGAGGTTAAGCGATGCATTTCCCCCTATGCAAACCATTGCACATTATTTATTATTTTTATTGTAGTGTATTTTTTGTATTTTTTTAGATCTATTCTACTACTTTTATATTGTCCTCCAAAAAAGACCCAAAAAAAGTACTGTATTGTACTTGTACAATGAGACGTAACAACAAAGAAATCTTGAATCTATGGCTTTGTTTTGAAGCTTCTGAAATTCCTCTCATATACAACTAAACCCTGTATCATTTTTTTAATTAAATTACACCCTCTGGCAAACTTGCAATCTGTGATACACTTTTTGGGAAGCAGCAGTCAAAGTCAAGGCCTCACATCTCAACACGTGCATAATTTATGAGGTGATGCTTTCAATCCGGTTGCTGAAATGCTGATGATTTGACTCCCAGTGTGTGGTGTCTGGGAACAAATTGATACAACTGAGTTAATGCACTTCTTGTTTATATGTTTACATATATATGTCTGCTCACAGGGCTTTAAGTGCACATCATAACCACGGTCTTCTATTCAAACTGGAACACATGATTTAATATAAGGGCCAATTATTAGCTTGTAGACAGTCTATAATGGACTTTTAAAACAAGGCAGATTGAATGGGTTGTTTGTGGCATGTTACCTTGCAATGTGGTAGGTGTTAAGAAATGTTTTTGTTTTTGTAATTTAGACTATAAATAGTATCTGCACCTTCCAACAACTCCAAAGCTGTCACACTTGTTGCATATAAAATGAGACTACAAGTATAGCAAGCCCACACTTCAGGATAGATAACAGAACTGTAGCTCAGATGACAGCACACCTTACTCCAGAACTACCTTCCTCACAAGGAAACCACCAGCTTCACACATCCTACAACTCTAAACACACTTACATCTTCAGCTGTCTGCTCAGGCTAAACTACTGTGGCTAGCCCAAGTGGCTTGACAGGCAGCTTCATGAATGCCATGGCACATAGTTGTCCAACCATCAGGCCTGCTTATGTAGTTCCATTAACCTTACAAATAGTCACTAGTTATTCCACAGCTTTTGCATGCTAACAACATGTTAAGCTAACTAGCACGCTGCACGAGCCACCAAATAAACTAAGCACTCCTCTTCAGCTACCTCCCCTTAGCAATAAACAAAGCAACTACATGCAACAAAGTTAACAACAGCTTACAACATGTTAAGCTTAAAACATCTCAAGCTATCTGGTAGGTTACCATCACTGGCATACTGCTCAAACCAACCAAGCCTCATCCCAGCAAGCAACACACCCCATACACTTTTGTCTTTAAGATGTAGTTCCAGCAAAGTGGGATCAGACTACTGATGTAGGGCACCAGGAACAAAAATGGCTGTCAGGCATGACATTTTATCCCTTGCAGTGTATCCTAGTGGATGACAACTGATGCCACCGTCTGGGACGCCTTGACAAAAAGCAACCATGTTAGAGTTATTTTGCCTTCCACGCCGTGGTCAAATGTTGACCAAAAGGCGCCCAGACTGTACACATGCCGGATTAAAGAGGAAAGATGATGCTGATGATGCAAGGTGTACACAGTGCACTGAGAGTGTTGTGTATTTGGGGGCATTGCCAAGTTGTCGTGAATAAATAACTTAACGGAGAGATAAGCAAAACGTTGCTATTATCAAAGAGGACTCTAGATTCAAATTTAGGAAACGATTTAATTAAACTGTGAATGAGTAGATTATATCAATGCTTGTTTTCTTTCACTCTCCAAATCTGTGAGGTCTGTAATTCCTGCGTTTGGTTCCTTTTTGCTTTTGTAATATCTGTAAGTGTTAATTGATGTATTTTCACTTTTCTATTGCAATAAATGTTGTTTTAAACCAGATGAAGAAGTTGCCACTGCTTCAGGAACATATGATAAAAAAGTTTGTTTGTAAGCTCCTACAGATGGTGAAAAGGCATTTAAAATGACAATAACATAATTGTCACCTGTAATGGTTTATGCACACAGGACACTGTCGTTGCCTCCTGCTGCATGTCGAAGTGTCCTTCGGCAAGACACTGAACCTGAATTACTCCCGATGCGATGAATGTTTGCCATCACTGCATGAATGTGGCATGTAGTGTAAAAGCTCTTCGGAGGTTATGTTATGCAGGAATATACTGTATTATTTTATTATTTAACTGTTGAAAGCCAAAACAGCCATTTCAATTTGAGCTGTATGACAGAGGGGTCATTTTGAATTAAATGTTATACATGTTCCTGCAACAATGTCTGTGTGTGTAGTGTTTTCTTAAGGTAAATCATAAAAAAAACAAAAAAACAATCATCCATCAGATCCTATTAACTGACAGCTAGAATATCAGAGAGAAACTCAACAGGTGGTTGTTGAAAACATTTATCACCAGTTAACAGGCAAGAGAGGGAAGGGAGGATAAATGGAATAAGAAGAGGAGAAAGACACAAATATCACAGAGTAAAAACAGCCAAATGCATTATTAGCACGATAGACAAGACTAAAAAGAATCCTTTCATGTCAATTTTTTAAAGCTTCTGCTGGAGCAGGAGAGGCACATGTACAATAAAGATTCTGTTTTTGTGACAAGCACTGTACCTAATGCACTGACAAACATGCATGCACGAAGCAGACACAAAAACCCTTAAGTAGCCACCAAATGTAGCCCTTCACAGTCAGCACAATAGTTTATTGTGAAAAATAAGATATGATTTTTAATGCTGTCTTAGTGTCACATTTGATGTGCCATACAACTGTATGTGCTACTGAATGAATCTACAGATGTCAGCGGTTCAAGGCTATAAAACTCAAAATTATGCGCATGTGTACATCATTACATCTCCTGAAACATGAACGGTATCTCCACTTCATTTCAGCTTGATTTTAAAGACACAAAAAATATTCTGCATACACTTTTAGTTTCATTTGCAGCCAATGCTAGCAGGCTTCTCCTCTCTTTCTCCTTTCTCTTCACAAAGTTGGCCGACTAAACAAGCAAGCATCTTAGTTCATCATGACACAGAATTCCTCCATAAAAAGGATTAATTCATCTATTCAGTATCCTCCTCCTCTTGCACAACGGATTCTGTCACCTGTTGGAAGGCAACTGGAGGGTTAGAAGCTCCTGTAAATGGCTGTAAATTACATTTTCTTTGTAGCTTTGGGATACATGAAGAAAATGACATTCAGTATTCTCCTGTATGTTCAATTTCAAGTTCAGTGTTGGCAAGAACAAAGGTTCATCAAGTCTCCTCATTCCAAGAGATGAGTATTATTCTACAGCTGCTTGTACCTTTCAAAAACCTTTTTTCTTACCACCTGTTTCTCACAGTTTATGTGTGCTTTTTTTCCCTACTGTGCATTTTAATTATCCTCAGTCGCGGTACTTGTTATATACAATCAAGGTGACAGCAGGCAGTACACTTCACTGAAAATGCTGAAATGATTTTTTTTAAACCGGACCACCACAGTCAAAGCAGAAGCATATTCCATTACTGACAATAAAGCGTCATCAATAAGTTTGGTCCTTTTTTTAAGTTTAATTTCTAAGCTTCTGAAGGTGACAACAAGTTGTCTTCAGTAAGAGTTCAGTAATGAGTTTCATCTTCTGGCACCCATACCCCACACACATGCCTCCTTTAGATCCATATTCAAACCATTTCCATTACAGATCAACAACATTTAGCACCAAGGCTAAAAATGTGTAGCTGTGGAGGCTGACGTCAACAGACATATTCAAAATTTGCTTTCAATACCGGCAGCTTCAAGTTCATTGTATTTTAGGTTGTTTTTTCATACGGGGCTGCAAGACAGTTTTCGATGTCTTATACCTACTTTTTCTTTGTCTTTGATACTTTAGAATTTGTGTTACATGTCACCGGATTTGGTTGGCACAGCTCCACTTACGAACCTTTTTTTTTTTTTTTATTAGTCTCTATCACGTGTTTTGACATTAGAAGACTGCTACAGTGTTTCCTCCTCATCCTCGGCTGTTGTTGCACTCGTACTAAGAACAGGCAGATTTTCCTTCAGTGAGATATCGTCCACCCGCTTGGGGCCACTGTCCTCGGGTTCTTCAGGTATCGATGGGTCTGAGTTACTGATCACGTATCCTGGGAGGGTGGCATGCATTAGCTGCGGACCTGAGCTACGATAAACACGGCTTGAAACCAGCGTAGTGGAGCGTGTGGAAAGGCCACCCCCTGCCAGGTGGGACTGGCTGCTGGTACTGTTGTTGTTGAGGCCGACGACAACAGAGCCGTAACGGTAGCGGCCGCATACCACCGGGCCCTCCCACTCAAAGGCCATGTTCCACCGTGTCCATGTTTTCTTTATCTCTGTCTGGACCTGGGGGAACAGGAGGAACAAATGTTATAATATAGCAAAAGTGAAGAATATGAATTATTTTTATTTATCGTGCTTCAATGTAGACCACTGATTCATCTGTGAGAACTGTAATTCAACCAATTAAAAGTTTCAAAACTCATTATTACATTATTACCAAATGTTAACACTGGATGTGAGCAAACAATTGCCCCCTGGCAAATGCAGAGCAGTAAAAATATCCCACTGTTTCTCAACCTCCCGACTCGCCTCCTAGCTCTGGTTGGATCTCAACTAACTTCTGAGAAACAAGGTCAAAGTTTTGAACTTGCTTAATAGGAAGTAAGTATTCAGTGATATCTTCACCAGCATCATGTGTATTTTCCATCTCTACTGCTTAATAATATAACAAATAGAAAATACTAAGCTGTCCAAGCGTGTTTGCTGGAAGTAGATGCCTACTGTTTTCTACTGGCAGGCTGAGGTGGTGATATTAAACTATACCCTCTGTGTGTGTGGGCTGAAGCACTAAAGTACAGTGCATTAAGAGCAGCTTAAAGCCGCGTAGAACTGCAGAGTAGTGTGTTAATTGTTGGATGAGACCTTTTCACAATACGTGAGTCATTTGTTTGAGCGTTAATGACAAAATGATGGAGCTCAAATTCAACAGTAAAATAAAAAATCCTTCATTATCCTCCAAATTTTGAGTTGTTTTAATTGCAGTTGCTTGGGGGATGAAAGGAGTGCTCCACGTGATACAGTGTGCATCACAAAAGGCAAGAGAGAAAAGGCATAAAGAACAGAGGGGTTTTCTGAAGATAAAACTGGCAGAAATGGCAATTCTGATTGCCAGTTGAAAGTGCTGAATACAAAGTTTAATTTAATGAGATAGTGGAGGGAGAGAGAGAAACAGAACGGCAGATTCCACAGCACTTTCCATCACATCTCATCTGAGAGGACAAGAAACAGATTAATTGAAAGAAAAAAGACAAGTAGCGTGTCTCAAGTGTGTCACTGTTTTACTTCTTCATCGAGACCCCCAATTACATGTGCTCTTTCAGCGGCTACGGTTAATTTGAAACTAGTTTATTTTAAAGTAGCACAACGAACTTTCCTTTCTTGTTGATTCTGGCGGCCCCTGGGCACAGAAGCGGGAATGTTTCCACAGCCTCATTTCATTGATTTCAAGTGGAATCCATCCAAATTGCCCCTGTTACAGGCAATAAGAATAACCATAGAAAAAGCCACTCTTCTCGCTAATGGTGCTCATGTAGGTCTTATAGAGGCATCAGTATTACATTAAGACTGTTTCATAATCAGTTAAAAACTCCTTGTAGTAAGTTTTAAGTACTTTGTTTGCTACATTTTGTATCTGTAGTAGTTTTGCAGTGTTTGTGATCCACTCACCTCTCCGTTGCAGTAGCAATAGATAATGGACACAAAGAAACCCTGAAAGGAAGAGATGATGGACAAGTTGTGAGCTCAGATCACAGTGGAACCAAGTAAAGTGTGAACAAACATAATATAGTGGGACGATTCTGTTCTGACCCGTTTCACCCGGTGTTACTGCTTCCCACTATGATAAGAAGTTAAGGGAGAGACACGCCGTCTTTGTGAAAGTGATTTATGGGATTTATGGGAAGTGGTTTGTGTGTGTGTGTGTGTGCCTTCCCGCACATCTTTGTTGGTGAGAGACAAACAGACAGAGATAGTGAATCTGTGGGAAGCCTAAATGAACACAGTGTACTCTGGACAGAAGAACAGCCTCCAGATACGTTAATCCATAGTCAAAATGTTTCTGTTTAATCTTCATTTAAGACCCCAAGTGCTCTTTTTTAAAATTTTAATCAGATATAATCTAGAAAATCCGACTAAAGTTTTAAATATACAAAACAATCAAATATTCATATGGATTGAAAAGTGGTCGAAGAGGGTAGGTAGCCTATATTATGCACTGTATAGCAAAATAAAAATCAATATATACAAAGAAAAAGGCAGAAAACAGTCACATATTTCTTTCCCCTATTTTTTTGTCACTGCATGTCATATAGGCCTATGTTACAGTGTCAGATGTTCACATTAAACATACCAAAAGTTTTAAATGATAAGGGAAAACTTTATACTTTTGCTTTATTAGCCATGCAGCTACCAGCCCTATTATCTCGCTGACTTTGCCTCTGGGAGCTCTGAGCACCAGGGGAGTGTTTGCACAGGAGCTTTAATTAATCACAGTATGGGAATATCAGTCACAAGAACTCATAATAATAATCTCATTGAAGGCTGCTCCCTAAAAGTCTGTGATGAAAGTCATCAGTCAAGAAGTTGACTCGCATTTTGTGAGCTGAATCTACTTTTTTAGCTGCGTCATTGTACATAGATTTTCAAAATGACCACAGACCACAAAACAAAATGTGATGGAAGCACAGGCCAGCGTGACACCGGACAGCACCGAAGGCAGAGCAGGGCGGCTCCAGTCTGTTGGCCGCTCCAACGATCTCTGCTCTGGTGATAACAGTCAGTAAAGTCGCCTAAACCACTTTTGAACTAGGCGTTGGTACAACTGCTACCATAAACTGAGTGACTCCTTCGCATCAAAAAAAGGCAGCTCAAATAACATTCTCAGCTGGGATTAAGTGCATGTCATACATTTTTAAAGTAGGATTTAGAAAAGAGTCCCAGGTGGAACCTCGCTCTTTTAGTTCGTCTCATTGTCTATCTAAACACAAAAAAATCTATCTATGCTAAACACACTGAACAGAGGCTGAAAAGATGGCCTTGTATCGTAGATGTATGCACACATGAAATATTTTTTTGTAAAGCTCGCTGAGAATTATTACCAACATCTAACACAAAAATGGGAAAATATGCTGTCACTGCAACAGAATTCAACCAGCATTTTGAAGAAAGACGTGAACCTGTTCTGAAATACCTTCTCTGTTGATGTAGAAGGACTTTTTTCTAATGACACTAAAGAGCAGACTGAGGATGACTGAAGTGTGAAGTATTTATATAGTATAAGGCCTAGCATCACTGTTCCCATTAGAGTGAGTGAAGTGAACTTTAATATCCACACTGCCTGCATCTGCAGGTTAACCATGTTAACAGATCAGAGTCGAAGTCTCACTTTTTTCATTTTCTGCTAGCCGAGCGTGGTTTCCAGCAAAAATAGAAAATTGCAATTGAATATGATTCTGAATGATCTGTTCATTGTCATATTGACATTCAAACAGCAACATGTACACCTTTCACTACAATTACAATGTCTATATCTATAGAAAATGTCACAAACATGAAAAACTGAACATGAAAGCACCTCCTGTATCTGTTTCAGATTGAAAGCTCCCTACCGTTTCTGTGGACAGAATCTTTTCATTTGTTAAGAAGGCTTTTACTGCAGCAGGAGCTCTCTGGTGTGTGGACACCACAGGCATGTTAGCTGCAGCAGTTCAGCGAGGCTGTCATCAAGCACTGCTCATACATGCTGTGTAGACCAGGCATAAGTCTCTAAAATGAAAAGGATCATGGCCCAGGGCTATATACTTTTCAACCCATGTGGCCCCTGGCATGAACAGTCACACTCAACAGGACACTCCTGCTAATTAAATGGAAAATGTGTTTGGAAATGTGCATCACTGAAGCTCAGTATCAACAGATTGATAACATTAAGGTGGGTCCTGCTTAATTACCCACTGAATGCATTGTGCTTAAATCCATATTCCTGAACTAAGGGTTTTTGATTAATTATCACACAACAAACCTGTGGCAGGTAGTGTTTTAGCATAAAAAAGAGAGTTGGAGAAACTGGAGGTTAATTGGTGGCCCAGTAGATGTTTTTTTGTTTTTTTCTCCCCCAGTGTCTCCTAGCAGGTTTATCTGTCCCTGCCCTGTATATTAACAACTTTTGACTGAACCTGATATACTCTGTTTCCTAATCTTCATCGTCATTGGTTTGTAGTTTAGCTTTTTATAAAATCCCAAGGAATCACTAGTATTTTCTCAGTTTGCACATATGTGAGTGGGTGCTTGCATTATGTTTTCATAAAGGCACAAAAGGTTCTCATCTCTTAGTGTTTGGCAAAAGACATTAGATAAATAACCAAATACTGCTGTCACCAGAGTAGCTCTCCCCTGGCTGTGATGATGTGTAAAAAGGAGCTTAAGAAGATGTGAAGCAATACAATGACTTTGAATTTTCCTCACTGCAAACATTATCTCCTTGTTATCTGGGTCTTTTTACAATATGTCATAGAGCCTCAGTTCCATAATCTCTCATTCTTTCTTACTTCTTCCTCTTTAGGCTCCCTTTTTCTGCTCACAATAGCAGGCAAGGTTTTCAGGAGCACCAGTCTCCCAAAGCTCATTGTCTTGCGAGTCCATTTCCATTTGATTTAGAGCTTGGTTTGTGTATTTGGCTTCAAATAAAAGTGGGAAGTCAGTCAGATTCATTAAGATAGATGCTTTCCAAGTAATGGACACTGGCCATTTCCAGGTGATGATATTTCCAGGTGAAATTCCAATTATTTTATTTATTATTATTTTATTTGGTTCAGAGACGTATATATATATATATATATATATATATACACATATATAATATGAGATAATAGACACATTAAATACTAAGAACGGTAGATAACGAGCAAGTGGAGTTTTTATTCAGACCTTCATACATACAGTTAAGATCTATGTTTAATCTGTTATTTTCAACAGGTGCAAAGCCATTTTCATCAGACACATCTCATGGTTTGTGTTTTGGTAATGATGTGGCTTCAAACAAATGTGCTCATGCTGAGTTGGATGGAGCGATGCAGCTGATGGTTTTTGTTGGCACATTAGATGGCGCAGTGCAATTCCGGTACTCGTTTTGGCATGAAATTGTGCTTTTGTTGTGTCTCTAGTCACCATCACAAATGCGAGCACTCAAAGTAATTTTTTGGCTTTAGTTGGCAGAGGCACACACACAGACCAAAAACTCTTTCATGTGTGTTAAATTGGCCTTTTTATTCACTTGGATGTAACTTATTTAAACTTGTACACATTTAGATGCACGTCAGAGATAAAACTGTTGTGATTTTATTGCTCCAGGGATGAATGAGTTTGATCCTTTCTGGTTGATTAAATACCAGTAGCTGTCATATTTCAGCAAGAATTACGTGTACTTCATCTGTGTATAATTATTCATGGGTCACGCAATTTGGGTACATTCATTGCTAAAATAAATCCTCCTGCCGGCATCTTTAAAACAAGAACATGAACTTTTGTAATTTATACACACTAGAACTGATACGCTGTCTCTGCCCCTTTAACAAATGCTTTAGTCTATCTCATTTAGTCCATAAAAAGGTTTTGTATTTACTGTATTTGGGTCATTTTTCCGATTTGTGAACACATTGCTCTTCTGTAACGTTTTTGTGAATATGATATATTTATCCATATTGTATCCATTATGAAAAGTGACTCCATTTTACCTCAAAGATCACTTACTCCTCACTTTCACTTCAGTGTTCATCAGGGCAATTTCGCTCTGATGCACCCTGCCAGCATTTTTAAGATGGTTGAACACCCTCAAACGACACTGCAATTTAATTTATTCATGTCTTTATATTTTTGCCCAATTCATTTCATCTTAAGACTAAGCCTTTATCATGGGCATTGATGCTCTCTGTGAGTGATATGAATGTCATTTTTACATAGATACACCCTTTGCCCTTTGATGGGAAACGTGAACTAGGGGTTAGAAGGTACTGCTTTTTAGCAATAATAGCTATCACATAATTTCATACTCATGTCAGTGCATCCTTGCTTTTCATTACTTGGAAATGGGGTCATGGTAAATTACCAATTATCTTAACTAATGCCTGAATGGACAATGTGCAATTGTCAAATCATTTGACTACTTGGGGCTTACATTACATTTACTGTGGTTTTGGTGGTACATGCAGTAGACATTTTCCTTCTCCATAGTTAGTTTTTTCCATGAAATGAGCAATGAGACAATTTAGAGAGCATGTGTGACTATATTTGGCTCCTGTAGTGTGATTTGATTTGCTGCATGCATTTCATTTCTTTTTTGATATCCTGATTAATTCATTACCATAAAACAATTTAAGGACAGATTGAATTAGACATTTTTTGTAAAACAGGGGGAAAAATTATGATGTATGAGTTGTAATTGAGTTAATATATAGAAAAGGTCAGTCCCATAGTTTGAAATTGCTCATTTAAACTTCGGCAGATCTGAATTATTAAGTTCATCATCAAGCTGCTTCACTGAATAACGAAGTGAAGTCTTGACTCTGACACTCGGACACCCAGAGTAATTTATAGAAGATAATTGTGGTCAGTCCCACACCGTTAAATGAAAATGTTAGAGGTTATGATGAGTCAGCCCACAGTGTGTGTGTGTGTGTGTGTGTGTGTGTGTTAATGGTGGTGGGAGTTGGACAGAGTTACTATGCCGACTTTGAGATGTTGACTCCAAACGGCTTTAAATTATACATGACTCAGCCACTACAGACCAAACATCACTGTTGACTCATGCCTATTGACTGTTTGCTGAAAAGGTCCATCATATATTACAGGATTAAAAAGAAGTCATACCTGAAAGGAGTTGAAGAACAGCTCACAGTACATGCGGATCTCCCAGCTCGGCCCCTCGAATGTATGAGGCATCCCAACAAAGATGATGTAGTGGATGCCAAACACCAGCACTAAGACAAGGGTGGACTTTGCCAGTTTCCTACGGAGATACACAGACACGTACGTAAACATGTATACAGAGCAGAACCCAGCTGAAAAAATTAGTAATCTAATCTATATTTCATACTGTTAAGTATGAGAGCTCCTCTGAAGTAGTAAAAAAAGTTCAGAAACAGTCAAAGCACAAGTAACCATCAGCCATTAGAGTTGGAGGCAGAGCTGAGAGTGTGAATGTAAGACATCAGCTATTAAAACTAGAGGCGAGGCTGAAGGTTAGGGTGGCAGACATCAGTAGCCAGAGCTGAGGGTGTGTGGATATCTCAGGGGGAGTTCAGCAAAAGTCCAAAGACACCTAGCAATATCAGTTTTATGGAAAATCCTCAGTAGTAGCCAGAGTGCAGAGTCAGCAGAATATGAGGGGAGGGTTGTTCACAGAGACTTCAGCCACATGAAAAAATAAAAACCATTAGATCCGGTCCTCTATTTGAGCGTAAACAAACGTCACCACTTGTCAAACATTATAATATTGGTTCTGATTTGTCAAAAGTGTGTTTTGGTAAAGGAGGAACTCCTATACAGTTTATTATAGAGTGTTTGTATGCAGAAAAGTTAGTCTGGTCCTCCCGGGACCACACTTATTGTTTTGTTGGTGTACTGCAATAAAACTCTTACGCATCAGATTCTGCGGACTCCAGAGCATTTTGAGTATCTTTCAGACTCCAATAAGTATTTTTAAGGATGTCAGCAAGATTTCCAGACCCTTTGTCAAACCCCAGGTTTGACAATATCTACTTAAAACTCCTTTGGATGACACCCATATACAATTTACAGTATTTGAGATTAATAATCATTGAATATTTTTCAGATTATACATTAAACAACCAGAAATTAACATAAAAATGGTGATAGCGAAAACCCCTTGGCAGGGTGTATAATTTATGATTGAAGATGATCGTAATCAGGGATGATTAATTGACAATCGATAAATATATTGGTAAGAATTTGATCAAACACATGACATTTTAAGTCTTTAGGTTAAGTTCTATTCTCTTGGTCCCATTTGGTTGTTTTTGAGTGTTTTCCTTAAAAAACAATATGTTAATGTTATATGGATTTTTTTTATGAGCATTCTCCGCATATAATCTGATATTAATTATATGAGTTTCACATGTCTAATAGGCCTCTAGGCTATGCAATGCTGTCAGAGCTATGGAAATAAAGCTTTGATTGAGGAAAGAAAACACATTTTGTATTGTTTGGTACAAGCAAAATGTGTTTGTTTTTTTTTAAATTTATTAATGTTACCAATAATTGATTAGAACGAAAGTTCTTACAATTTAAAAAAACACACATCAATAAACACAAATATAAAACAATATAAAATACACTGAAATGAAGAACAAGCATTATTGTTTACTTGACACGGAAACAGTGACCTGATACTATTTAGATCTGCACAGATTTTGATGCTAAGCTTCCAATTTCTTTTACCAACGACTTGCTTGGCTGATTTTTATATTATTATTTCACTGTTGCTCAAACGTATCTTTGTCTTGTCTTCTGGTTGAACCATTGTACAGCATTTTGTTCTCCATGTATTAAACATTTCTTATTTGCATACAAAATCATACAAAATCATACAAAATTACTATTTGTAAAGAGACTACAACCTAAGACCATAGAGTAGCTCCCTCTCAAAATGAAGCTTTTCTGGCAGGTGGTTCCAGACTTTTGAACAGTAATGTATCTATTTGATACATTTGATAAGAATTTGTCAACAACTTTTATGGAGAACAATCTACAGTTATAACTTCATCAAAGTTTGAATTCAATGTTCCTTTCTTTTAGGTTTGACTTTAGACAGAACTAATTTGCTGCTAATTTGACTCCTTTTAGTAAACACTGCTACTGTCATTATATGGTAAAGGGTTATTTAATGGCTTCCAACACTAGATACTGACACCAGTAATGATTTTTTGCTGCCAAGCTGACATTTCTTCCACAGACTGAAAGGAGTGTTCTGGCTTGGATAGAGAAGTAGAGAAAAGAATTTCAAACTCGTCTGTGGAGATATTCATTTTCCTTCAGTAGCTAGAGCTCAGAGAGACTGCGCCTTTCCCAGTATTTTATTTGTGGTGCTAAAAAATGGCATACAAGGTAGCACACAGTGATTTCCAGGAAAAAGTTAGTTTTTCTGACATGGGCAAAATAAATTGGCGTATGTCAACTTTTTCCTGGAAATCTGTGTGTGCTCCCATTATTTTCTTTTCTTCCTCAGCTCTGAAAACTTCCTGACTGCAACACTGAAGCGGAGCAACTTTATTTTAGCTTATTGTTTAGGCTTAGTGTTAAATCCTGCAAACTAACTCTAGGTCTCCATCTCCCAAAGCATATTATTATAACATAGCTTTTTAATATTTTGCTGACGTCAATCAGAATCCCTTCAGCTACACATCTAAATCAAAGAGTGACAGAATTTGAATAACTTTTTCTCCAGGGGATTATTTCTGGATCTGGTGTATATAATTAGCTCAATTATGTTCAATGCTTTGACTAGAAGTTTTGGAAAATCTACAGAATAGTATAAAGCGTTGTGTTTTCTGTTGTTTTGTGAGCCTTACTCCACAGCTGTGTCTGGTTCCTGGATGCAAAATATCTTACAGTCCTTACAATTAAGAAAAATATTTATTTTCCTAATTTTCCTACAATCCAATCACTTCAGACAACAGTTAATTGCAATTCAACATCCAGAATACAATATTAACACACTGGAGGATGTGCACAGTGATCCTTTAAAGCAATATCTGAGATAAATTGATGAGAAACATTATAAATACTTAATGATAAATGTTATCTCGTCCAAGCTGACTGATTTACAAGCATCTTTATGCAGTGCATGTCTCTCATGTTCACACAAATGTCAGTGAAAGTGCCACACAGCCATCAGCTAAAGGTCAGACTCCTTCCTTCAATTTTCAGTGTATGAAGACCACCTAGGTTGTATGTAGCAGCAGCTCGGGGTATGCAGAGGGAAAGAGTCTTCATTGGGAAATTAAGTTATAGTGTTTTTTGCAGTTTGTCTGCAGGAAAAACTGAAATATCTAAAGTCCATTAAAGGTCATATAAGGACTTCAGCTCAGTGTATTCATGTATAGACCTTCTGCTGGAAGGAGAGGAAGTGATTTGTACTCTTTTATACCTATTCAAACTCTTCTAGGAATGTAATGAATGGTAATTCATTTAAAATATTTGTATAATCTCAGCAGGCTTTTACCTTCATCCCTTCAGTGACACTAATACTTTGTGACAGCTCTTAATTGTCATGTGTCAACGAGTTTTGATTTACTATTGGTATAATAAATGCTGTCAGTTAATTCTAATTCTAATAAATTCTAATCAAAACATTATTTCAACCAGGTCACAATGCAAAATACCTGTATAAATTTGAATAACAATCTACATATTCATGGTCATTTTTATTTATAGGGCTGAAAAGGAAAGTGTTTGCCCAAAACAAAACAAGAGGTGAAACTGTGACCTTGTTCCCTGACTCCCCCCTTTGGATGCCTGATTTGACTGCTAATGAGAAAATAAAAATAGAATTAATGTACTGCAGTCCATGAAATTAATTAATTTTTTACTTGAAATATGCAACGTTAACTGCATGACTTCAGTTTAAAAATGAATACAAGCTTGTTCTGGTTAATGTTATTCATCTTCCTCTCTCTTGCTTCCACGGCATACATGGTAAACAACTTGAAGACTCATGATTAAAATTCATCAGACCTTATTTGATTTGGCTTTTCACAATCATCCAATTAAGTGGACTACATCGCTTGCAACCTGGTATCCTGCCAAAGCCAGTAATATGCATGCTCACCTAGACAGGAAACATAAATTGAGTTGACTTGTGTTTGACTGTATTTGAATTGGTGTTTAGGGTAGTACATTTAATTTGATTTGTTGCTAAAGGTGTAAATTGAGCAGATTTGAAGCTGCTGTTAAATTTATAGGGATAGAAGAGGCTCGATGGAGCCTCATTAAAATGGAGGCTCTTGAACCCGGTCTCTATTCTCCTTCAGGCAACTTCTCTTTTTGGGTTTTAATTTGGGTCTTAAATAAGTGATATATTTGATTGATTTGATTTTGATTGATACAACTAAGCTGGTAAAAGCCAGTTTGCTTAGGTTTCTTAAGCAGGCTTTAACATAGTTCTAAACCCTGTCTGATACCTATAGATCAAAGAGCATCAGTCAGCTATCTTCAGGTAAATATATCCTTACCTAGAGGGGTAAGGAATTGCTAGGGACCACTACAGTAATGTTATGTCCCTGGAGTAGGGGAACCTAGACATAACATGATGTGTGGCCAGCTTCGCAGAATTAATCAAAGTTTAGAGAATCAGTTTATTGGACTTCGGAGCTCAGAAATGCCCAAAACAACAAGCAATAGTTCACTAATTAACCCTAAACTTCCCTAACGAGGAAAACAAAATGTGAAGAAAAGACTAATTTCTAACCCAACATGAGAAAAACAAAAAGGACCTCTTACTCCCCCTCCAACTGCTACTAGGTGCTCTATATTTACAGAGTCCTGTTTACAAGGAACAATGTTCACAATAACAGTCTCTCAAGCTAGTCGAGTTTATTAAAGTCACTAATCACATAGCACCAAACTATACAAACTTTCAAAAGGCTGGTCTGCAGTTGCTCTACTTACTCAGGACAATACACGGGGCTAGAGGCTGACCCACTGTTGGCAGTGAAGGGAGGGAAGATTGCTGTCAGCTGGGGTTTTAAAAATCATTCCAAGATCTCAACAATTACTTTTGTGAGTACGGGTATTATCATAAATGATGGAACTGATCATCAGAGCTATTAAAATAAAACACAAGTTTTAATAAACTGTAGTGTTTGCTTTAATATCCAGCAAGCTACTGGAGCATACTGTTAGTGAAAACTCTATCTTAGTCTTTGCAAGTCCTATTCACTTCACAGTGATTCAAAGTCATTTTCCCTCACCTGCTTCCTTTCTCTGTACTTTCTTTTTTGGGCACCCTGATTAAGATTTTTCTATCTGCATGCGCTGTTTTTGGCTGACATTCATCTTCCAGCATGGCTTCCAGTTTACTGCACCGATCACTATCATCTGTTCTAACTAACAGTCTGCTCATCTATACAAAGCAAC